ACAGTGCATTTAAAAAAAATCATAATTTTTCAAATAGTTACTATAATTATTAATTAGGCCTTAATTACGATTCAGTGAACACTTGACGGCCTATAAACAAGATATTAGGACCTCACCATGTAGTCATTGAAATCATCCACGAAAAGTTTTATAATAGTATATGGTTTCAGTGTAAGGGGAATGGGAAATCAAGCAATCATTTATATTGTTTTACTTCTGATAAAGTAAAAAGGAGAAATTAAGTAGTATACGTGGCTGCTTATGTCCCACTGTGTTGGATATTTTAAAACTGTTACCTTAGTGTATGGGATTAGTTATATACCATATGGACCAGAATATTTAAACACAAAAGTGATTAAAAGAAGGATGTCACTGTTAACTTTTTATTTCCTTCTTTCATTAGTCTGTGACAGGGCCATAAAATATCCTCCAATGCAAACTGTCACATTATGGTAATTGCTACAAGTAAAAGTCTCAATTAAATGCAGGAATTTGAAAGAATATTATTTTTAAGCTAAGATTTAAGGGTTCCTCTTCTTTATGAGGGTAGGGAGTATAGGTAAAGAGCAGGGATTCAGCCCAAAATCAAACCTCACCTTCAGAATCATGAGCCAGATCTCTGTTAATGAATTTTCTTTTCCTGACATTTGTTGGTTTCTCGTTACAATTTCTCCCACGCTGATTCTACAAAGGGAAAGAAAAAATCCTTTTTAAAAAATGTAAACCTCAGATGTCATATACACAAAAACACATGCATATATAAGTCTACTGGATCTTCTCTCTGCATAGAAAAATAAAAGTCCATAGTATCCAATCTAATCTTCATTTTCTGCGCTCATTTGACAGTGAAAGCTGAGAAATCAACAACCAGGGAGAGTTGTTACCAGCCAAGCGGAACACACTACTACTTATCAGTCCTGTATTCATGGCATCTTGGCATCAAAACATTAAGCAATCACACTTAAAGTCGTTTTCAGCTAGATTAAAGCTAGACTATAATACAGTGAGTTTTATTCTCTCTGATACCCCCCAAAACAAAAAGCATAGAGTGGTGAAATGAAAAATATGAGGAAAAAATGAGACAAGAAAAAAAGAAAGAAAAACACCCCATGTAAACAAAAAGTGTCAGCATTAGTCTCAACTTCATTCTTTTCAATGTGGCAGACAAACCCAGCCAAAAACTTTGAGTGCAGCTGCTGCTGCCCTCCGTCTCCTCTTCCACTCATCTTGGGCACTTTAATCAGAAAAAAAAAAGGGGGGGTTCTTAAAAACAAAACTATGCCTTATCCAAGTCACTGAAAGGTAAGCTCATTTTGAAGACTGGGCTTCTAGAAGCAGAGTCGCCCTACAGTGGCAACAAAGCAGATAAAGTATCTGCAATCCCAACCCCCTTACCCCCTCCCTTCTCATTCTCTCTCTCCTCCTCCCCCCCCCTCCCCTCCGTTGGAGTCAAGTTTATAAACAGCAACTTTCGAACTGATCACTCACATTGGTGACCATGTAAGGCACTTGCTGGTCATAAAATCCATCCATTCTGCTGCTCTTCGCAAAGCTCAGCTCAGTGTTTTATATTTTGAGCATTTAGCTGGAGATTTCCTCGGGATGTGGACTTCTATCAACCTAGAGGGGAACAAGATGGCTTTTAGGCTAAAAAAAAAAAAAAATCATGAATGAAGCTCTTGAATTTGCATAGCTAATTACCCTCAGACAGTCCCATTCACAAAAAATAACCCTCCCTACACAGCCTCCTTCACCTGGATCCAAAGAGAGCCAAGAGAGTTCACAATTTACATATTTTCGGCAGTAGCAAAAATCCGAACAAGAGGCGATGTATTTATTTACACTCTCGATGTTTCCCTGCGCGGTCGGTGTACCCCGGGCAGCTCTGATTCGCAAACGTGTGCAAAACTAGCAATGGCGATCAACGAGACTTGCTTTGCACCTAACGGGACTAGAGAGACGGAGACACCTCTTTCATAAGGATAGTTTTTGCAACCCACAACCATGCAATTATCTGGAGAGACATAAAAAGTTGTTGGAAAGACCCACCTGAAGGCCACGCTAGGCGAACGGCTGCAAAAAATTCCCTCCAAATTTAATAAAAACATTAATTATCGCCCAGCACTTCCCCCTTGGAAGCCGAAAGCGCCTCTGACAGAGCTCAATTCGGTGGTTTTTCCTCTACTTCTCCTCCAGGGGCCTCCAATCCAAACTGATGGATCGCTGCCTCCCATTGGCTCCGCGTCTCTTTCACAAGATCAGATTTCGAGCTGTCAATCAGGCGGCTTGCTGCCCCTTCTCGTGGATCTCTCGCGCCCCTCTTCCTACAGGGATGTTCCGCGGGCTGGCGCTGGGTCCACAGTCAGCAAACGCCTAAGAGGAAATCAGCTGCCTTCCTAAGCCGCTGCTTATTGTTAAGGCGTCCGGGACACTGAAGCCATGTGTCGCTAGTTCTCCTTACTGGTGTGTTAGGTCCACTACTGGGCTGATTTCCTAAAGCACTTTTGTTCGGTTCGGATACATACCCTGAAGTGCGATCCACCAAGCCTGTGCCTCCTTACTCCTCCGAATCGCCTCCCTCAAGATCTCCAGCCCCCTGTACTTTTAACCTGATAAAGAACCCACCTCGCTCTATAGCCTCGTTCCCACTAAGCTTTTGGCCCAAATTCTTCCCCTATTTTTCAACATCCAGCACCACCATAATGGTTTATCAAAAATATTTCATTTTATCAGCCATCCCTCAAGTAAAACAAGATATTATCGTTCATGGGACAGTAAAATAAAGAATCCATGAGTAAAATCACCTGGGAGCTGAGGAATTGCTTGTCAGGAGGGGGTGCATTGGGAGGAAGAATTAGCAGGACCACAGAGCAACCTAGGTGAAGAAAACTATAAAAAACAAATGTGTCCCACGTGTGTACTGGGGCAAGGTGCTTCCAGTCCACTATGGAGGAGGGGAGGAGCGGGGAGGGAATGGGGTGGCTCGGATATCCTAGGGACTCGAACGTTTCCTGGGCTTTTGTTATGTATACAAGGAGGCGGAGGGTGTCACTTACTGTACTTGACGCTTTCACTTCCTCTCCAGCTTTTAAACAGCCCCAGCCGGGAGTGGGGGCGAGCGGGGTTGGGGCTCGGGTTTCAAGGACAATGCTCGGGACATTAAAAAGTGAGGGTTGCGACTCTGAAACCACTATCCCTGACGCGCCTAGGCTTGGGGCTGTAAAAAGTCGTTAGAAAGCAGCCTCGGCCCAACAGTGGATGGGAGGCCGTGGGGATCTGACCAGGGACTTGGTGCACTGTGTTGAAATTCACTTGTGATACTGATGGCGACCAGACCAAAGGACGTTTCCGGCAGCTGTTCCGCCCGTAGGGAAACGTGCTGTAGTTCTCAATTTCTATAAAGTTTCGTTCCTTAAATGGAACGCTATGGAGACGCATTAAAATGAGAGTGTGAGCACACAAGACTCAATTCTGGACCCATGGAGGGAAACAAAAGGGTAAATACCTACGCCAAAAAAAAAAAAAAATTTTTTTGTAATAAACAACAGAAAAAGTGTTACTGGGGAAACACCCAATAACTGTGGACAACAAGGACACCCACAGCGCATTCCCTGAAACTAGTAAATCAGAGTAGCCGGTGCAAACGCGCGCACCTACAAGCATTTTGAGCGGGAACTCCATTTTAACCCGGGTCAGAGAGGGGTTCTGTGCACAGTCGGGTTCGCAACGCAGGATAGAGACGCTCTGGGGTGCATTCTGAGGGTGCAATCAGGAGGGGAGCCAATAGCAAGGGTGTCCCGCCGCCCAGCATTCCCGGGATAACCCAGCCTCTGTAACGTGAGCAACAGTTTCCGAAGACCTCAGCAGCCAGAGCCGGACGGGTATCCAGGGTAACCGGGAAGGGGTGGAGCTTCAGGGTAGGCCCCCGCGAGGTTCTTGCCGCAGCCAATAACGTCTCGTGGTTTCCCAGCCCATTGTTGTTTATTGCTGACCTCGCAGCGCTCCGCTAGGAGATTGGCCGCTCCAGGGAAGGGGCGGAGCTTCTCCCTCCCCAGCAGCAACCTTTCGGCTCCATTCACAAAATTCCGGCCTTTCCTGGTCACGTGGTTGGGGGCGTGGAGGGCCAAGGGAAATGACACAACAAAGGCCTAAGTTTCCCAAACCACAAAACTTTTTTCTACCTCGCTACCTCCTCTGTGATTCGTCGCTGAGCAAATACTCTATGAGGAAAAGGAGCCTTAGGTCTGACAAGAGGAAAAGAAGTCGTAAATTAAAGGAAGGCTCGCATGGAGATAATCTCAGGGTGCACTCTCTATGAGAAAAGCAGTGAAAGGCTTTTCGAGAATTAAGTAGGTTGGGAAGAAAGCCTCAAGACAGACTAGTAACTTGCTGCTTCAAGCCATTGCTTTTAGAAGTGCAAACAGTTCGATTTCAGATGGATTTCAGTTTTCTCACCTAACTTCCTGTAATTTTCATTTTTACCTTGAATTTATCGCAGTTTCTTGTTAACTTTTTAAAGTTTCACTCAGGAATACTGCAGGATTTTGCTGGCTGACAATTTTAGTTTCCATTTCCCAGTCCCCACTCTTTCACAGGCTCCCAAAAGCACTCCCCCTTTTTCCCACTAACACTGGGCAAACAGAAGTGGCACCCTAATCCTAACACTTTACTTTGTGCTGACGGGGGTCCATATTTCCCCCTTGGATTCTTTAAACGCACTCAGCTCTTAACTATTTGATCTTAACAGTAACTGAAAATGGTGTTATGTGAATAAGCAGACAGCCAGTCTCACTACAGCTCAGTTTTGTTGAGACAATTTTTCTGAGATTTATCTCACTTGCCCCTCCAGCAAGTGAACTTTTAGACCATTCTCCTCTCTCCCACTTTCTCTTCTGTCCTTTCTCTTTCTTTCCTGTTTGTGCTGCTATACCTAGTGAAACACCAGCTTTTAGTTTGACTGCTGTTTATCTTTTATGCTTGGCCCTAGGAAAAGCCAATAGACCCAGTTGCTGAAGAATTGGAAGGACTAAAAATCTGTTTTTCAAAAAAAGTTACCATTGTGGAAAATGTCTACAGAGGCAGCTGTTCTATCCAGAGAGGAACGTCAAAAGTTGCACAGAATTTCCACTACTTCTGAAAGTGAGTCTTTAAAAAAATCAGCTTAGTAAATGCCAGTCCTTGAATGGAAAATTTCATTTTGGCAGGATTTCCGGCAAAGAATGGCAGAGCAGAGGCCAAGAGGCTTTGACATTTATTTACTTGTATTTTGAAATCCCACATGGGTCTTGAAATAGGAGCTCTTGAGGGAAAGACCCCTCGCCCCTCAAAAAAAAAAATTAATTTCTAAGTTTGGAAAGTTTTTAACTTTCATATAAGCTACTTAAAGCTTTATAGTTCCTTTGCTGTGAGTTAATAAAGTAAAATAATATTCATTAGTGGCTTTTCTGCAGTTAACTTATTATAGCATTATACTGAAAATGCATGATGTTAAATAGAGTTTCTAAAAGCAGCAAAAAAGAAAAATGATACTAGTTGTTTTAAATGATTAATATGATTAGAATTAAATTTGCTCAAATTAGGTTAATTAAGTAAAATAGTAGCTTTCATAATTCATTTCTTAACAATATTATATAAAGCAAATTGTTAATGGCCTAGTTTTCACAGAGCTACATCAAATTGATAAGGAAAAAATAGACTATTAAGTAGGTAAATGGGCAAAGGAAATAAACAAATGAATATAATGCCAAAGGAAAACTTAGAGACCTTCCAGAATGGTGCAAAATAATGAATGGCTTAGTGGGCTCCCTGTGAGAAGAAAACAGGGATTTGATGGGAGGGTGGACCCTAGGAAGAAGGTAAGGATATGAAAAAAATTGACACTGTGTACAATGTGTTGACTCACCTCTCAACCCTGCCACTGTCAGCTCGGGGATATCTGCAAACTCTCTGAGAGGAGGAAATGCAAACACATGACTAAAAACTTCTCAGGGCACCTAGGTGGCTCAGTTTTCTAAGCCTTCAAATCTCGATTTCAGCTTAGGTCATGATTTCGCGGTTAGTCATAATATCCAGCCCCAAGTCGGCTGGGCATGGAGCCTGCTTAAGATTCTCTCTGTCCCTTTCTCTCTTTCTGAAAGAAAAAGAGAAAGAGAGAGGGAGAAAGAGAGAGAGAGAGGGAGAGAGGGAGAAAGAAAGAGAGAAAGAAAGAAAGAAAGAAGGAAGGAAGGAAGGAAGGAAGGAAGGAAGGAAGGAAGGAAGGGGGAAAAAAGGAGAGAGAGGGAAAGAAAGGAGAGAGGGAAAGAAAGAGAGAGAGAAAGAAAAGGAAGGAAAAAGAAAGAAAAAGAAAAAAGAAAATTTAGAAAAAAATTCTTAGCTGCCTTCGAAGTCAGAACATTATACACAGTAAAAAAATGAAGAGCATTAAAAAATGTTCTAATACCCAGGGATGTCAATGTTGGGATAAGCATGCTCACATGTATTGCTGGTCAGAGTTTGACTTTCTGCAACATTTTTTAAAATGCTTATTTATTTCTGAGAGACAGAGAAAGGGAGAGCAGGGGGGAGGGCCAGAGAGAGAGGGAGACAGAGGATCTGGATCCGAAGTGAGCTCTGTGTGGACAGCAGAAACCCTGATGCGAGGCTGGAACTCAGGAACCACGAGATCATGACTTGAGCTGAAGTTGGATACTTAACCGACTGACCACTCAGGTGCCTCTCTGCAACATTTTTAAAATAAGTTTACAATACCTACTAGATCCTAAAATGGACAATATCTATTAGATCCTAAAATTAGACACAGTGAAGGAAAGAATAAACAAAACTAAAAAGACAACCTATGAAATGGGAGAAGATTTTGCAAGTGACATATCCAATAAAGGGTTAGTATGCAAAATATGTATAGAACTTATAAAACTCAACACCCAAAAAACAAATAATCGAATTAAAAATGGGGAGAAGATATGAACAGACATTTCAGAATGGCTAAAATCCAAAACACAAGAAACAACAAGTGTTGGGGAAAATTTGTAGGAAAAGAAGCTCTCATGCATTGTTGGTGGGAATGCAAACTGGTACAGCCACTGTGGAAAACAGGATGGCGTTTCCTCAAAAGTTAAAAAATAAAACTACCTTATGATCCAGCAATGGCACTACTGGCTATTTACTCAAATAATACAAGAACACTAATTCAAAGGGATATATGCAGCAACTATGTTTACAGCAGCATTATTTACAGTAGCCAAAATAGGAAAGCAGCCCAAATGTCCATCAACTGATTAAGAAATGGATAAAGAAGATGTGGCATAATAAGGGAATGGTTTTAACAAAGTGTGATGCTTTCACATTTTGGAGTTCAATTCTGTTATGTATCCATTAAAAAGTATGCAATGTCCTTGGTCCTCAAACTTGAAATTGCATAAGAAATTCCTTATTAAACATTCTGCTTACTGGATAGATCCATAGAGTTTCTAATTCAGTAGTCCTGAACAGGGGTAGTTTGATTTTTAACTTTTGGAGGAAACTCCATCCTGTTTTCCACAATGTCTGTACCAGTTTGCATTCCCACCAACAGTGCATGCGAGCTTCTTTTCCTACAAATTGTCCCCAACACTTGTTGTTTCTTGTGTTTTGAATTTTAGCCATTCTGACAGGAGTGACATGAGACCTCACCGTGGTTTTAATTTGCATTTACATGACGATGAGCGATGTTAAGCATCCTTTCATGTGTCTGTTGGCCATCTGGATGTCTTCTTTGGAGAAATGTCTCTTCTGTGTCTCCCTCTCTCTGTGCCCCTCCCCCACTGACACTGTGTCTCTCTCTGCCTCTCAAAAATGAATTAACACTTAATTTTTTTTTTTTTTAATTCAGACTTCTAGTATTATTTGTCAAATCATAGAATATTCTTTCATGGCAGCTATTAGCTGGAGCTGGACACTGCTACTCCTTAAGAGGTAAAGGGTAAAGGAGCATGGGCTCTCAATTTTGCTATGGTCTATACTCTTCCCCAACCCCTGGTTTTCTTGTTATGTTACTCACCTGAACTCTTTAAGTATTTGCATATGTCAGCCCTGATTTACATGTGACAGATCATGTCAAGTGAATAAAGAGACAGAATAGAGAGAATAATATATCCTATTTTTGTTCAAAAAAAAAATAATGTACATAAAAGTGTACTTACATATACAAATACGGATACACACACACACACACACACACATATATATATATATATATATACACCAATGTTTCTCAACATTTTTCATTATTGCCCCCCAAGGAGCCCTTTCAGACTTTTTTTATCCCTAATTGCCCTCCTCCCATTAAATTTTAATACCACAGATACACCGTATTTCTGTTCATGTCCTGTAATTCTTGGGAGGGTCAAAAACAATTGTAATACCTAACATCCATTCCTCCAAGAATCAATTTTCAACACTTGGGAGCAATATCACTGCCAACTGAGAATGTATAATATATATTTATAATTCTTTTTTTTCTTTTTATGGATACTGTATTTATCTATACATATTGATTCTTTAAGAATTTTGTTAACATTTATTCATTTTTTTTTTAATTTTTTTTTCAACATTTATTTATTTTTGGGACAGAGAGAGACAGAGCATGAACGGGGGAGGGGCAGAGAGAGAGGGAGACACAGAATCGGAAACAGGCTCCAGGCTCTGAGCCATCAGCCCAGAGCCTGACGCGGGGCTCGAACTCCGGGACCACGAGATCGTGACCTGGCTGAAGTCGGACGCTTAACCGACTGCGCCACCCAGGCGCCCCTGCATTTATTCATTTTTGAAAGACAGAGAGTGACACAGCGTGAGTTGGGGAGGGACAGAGGGAGAAAGGGAGACACAGAATCCAGAGCAGGCTCCAGGCTCCAAGCTGTCAGCACAGAGCCCGACATGGGGCTCGAACCCACAGACTGCGAGATCATGACCCGAGCTGAAGTTGGATGCTTAACCGAATGAGCCACCCTGGTGCCCCTAACATATTGATTCTTTTTATCATTAAAAAGAAAGACACATATCCATCTTTTATTGTACCTCCAGTAGATAAGATTGGAGGTGTGACGTAAAAAGTAACTAAATTTTTCTTCTAGAACTTACAATGGCTTGTTACAATATGCTTGTATTACAGTCCTATTTCTTTAATCCATTAAAAGAATGAATGAATTAGTAGTTTAAATTATAATTTGTTTTGTAAGAATCATAGGCATTCTCATTTGTAGAACAGCAATATATGTTGTTGGTCAGGGGTCTTCTAGGTGATACATGGTTTGGAATAACTGATAAGCAAAGAACAAAATACAAATCATTTGCCTTCCTTTAAAAAAGGACACCTTGCATATCTTTTAGAATTGAAAGCATGGTATTAGCAACTTTAAATAGCTAAAATAAAATAAAATAAAAAAATAAAATAAACAATAAAACAACAAAGGTCACCAAGCTCTACTCTTAGAGTTGTTTTCTGAACCACCGCAAGAGATACAGGTGTGGTTTCCCTGCTTTCCTCAAATGTAAAAGGTTAGTTAACAAAGGAAAAAAGGCTTTTAAAAGTCCATTTTAGAAATGGAGTTTTATTCTTCTGGGATACAGTTTGATTTAGAAAAATTTAAATCATTAACAAGTTAACCTTTTATGTGTATTAGACATTGGTAGGAATATTCATAAAGTACCTTTTCTAGAAAGTCTTCCTGGAAAGAGTTTGTTTTATCTCGTTATGATCCCCAAAGTAGAATTAGGAGAACTCCTTATGGGCTCTCAAAGCCGGTATTTTTCCATAGTCCTAAATTATGTGTAAATGTTTCAGACTGTACTTCATTTGATAAACTCATTAGGATCTTGATTACGAGTGTGTTGTTAGTCATAGAAGGCATATAGTAGGCGTTTAATGCTTGCTGCAGGATGAAAGAATCAGTAAATGGACAACATCCTGCTGAACTGCCTTACTGTACAAATATAAACAAATTTCAAATATTGAAGCAATGTTATGAGCAATTACTTTCTGAAAACAAAAGTTTACTGGACAATTGAAAAGAGCTGATTGATTACTCACGTACAAATGGTTTTTAGATAAAACTTTGCTCTTAAAATTATTGTCAAAAGGAAAATTGAAAGTGGCATTCAACTACATGTATTTTTCATATTTGTACATTTAATTCATTTTTTAAGAAAACATTCTTTGTGATTTCTAAGGCTTTGATATTTATATGACCAACATTAATGTATCTGAAATACAGAATTCAGAATCATAGCTTGTATCAATGTGACCTATTTTTTAAAAAATTTATTAAATCAAGGGTTTGTAGTAGATGCCCTGAGATCCCTTACAAAAGCAATCCCCCAATTTTCTTATTTTTAATCAATGGCTGTGTTGACCTCAACCACATGGGGGAAAATACCATCTAGTAGTAACAGAACTTGGCATCAGAAAGTCATGGATTTGAATACTGACTCTAACACGAGTCAAATCACTTTATCTCTCTAAGACTCAACTTGTAAATTTATATAATGTATATAAAACCTATTTTTCAAAACTGCTGTGAGGAAGAAATGAGCCATTGTACTTAAACTGCAGAGTTGGAACTCCATAAAAGTTGTCTTTCTTATCTGTTGGAACTTTACTATGACATAAGACAGTAGATCTCACTCTGTTAGTCCTCATTGGCCTAAATATGCCATATTTATATCCTTATGACTTTAGGGATGACTTTTAGAACTGTCCTTGACACCTGGGAACACTCAGCCTGACTTCTTACCCATGTTTAGAACAATTTTTTACCTTCCTATCTATGTGGGGGCCAATTCCTGGTCTCCAGTATTTCCCCTGCGCAGGCAGGGGACTGACACATCAAAATCCTCTCCCTGGTCTCTGGTGGTTTGGCTGACTTGATTCCTGACACAAGAGGCCAATGATCTTGCTATTAAGATCTCCTTATTAAGTTCACAAAGTGTAGCGTAGTAGTTGAAAGAGAGAAAATGTTGCTTGACAAGAATGCACACACAGGAATTCATCTCAAGAAAGTAAAAAAAGAATGATTTCCCAAAACACAGCATTTTCTGAAAAGGTGCCAAAAGAATGGCCTCATGTCCATAGCTTCCTTAAAACCTAGAAAGTCTCCCTTGAATGAGGGTCACCAATGATACTTAAGTCAGCTTCTTGGCATTTGAAGAACAATGTGTCTTTGAACTTTGTAATCGTGATTTCACTTCTTTGTGATCTTTCCGAATTCCCTTTTATATTTAAAATGTTCCTTTTGTCCTGAATTTCCTCTCAAGTTTAAAAATAGCCGTTTGACTATAGGCATTTCATGTAAGCACATCAAAGAAAGCTACAAATCTTCTTTGTATCTGCATGACAACTCTAAATAAAACTCAGGTTTTTAGTCTTGGCTCACTTTTGTATTCGAAACTGAAGTTACTCTCTGTTTCTATCCTGTCAAATATTATCAGTGCTTATTGGTTTATCAAATGTATTTCCAGGCAACCTGTTCCACCCAGAAAAGAAGTTACTTATGAATGAAAGTCTTACCCTTGTTAGGAAAGAGGAGGATCATTTGAATCAATAAAGGAAGGCATTATCAGAAAGGCATTCAGGAAGCAGAATCCCATGCCTCAGGTATGTGTATGGAGGATATCTAAAAATAATTTTTGCATTTAGAGTTAAAACCGATATTTTTTTCCTGTACATACACACATTCTCACACCCACTCCTACTGAAATCTACTCAGAATTGTTAAAATAATAAGTGTTATCGGTTAAAATACAGGAAAAGGCCATGACATTCATTATAAATAGCTCTTGTTATTTGACTCATTCCTGACGTAATGGGAGATAACAGTGCTTGGATTCTGGATAATTTGATCTTACAGCTGGAAGAAGTATCAACAGCTCATCTAGTTTGTTACAGTGCCATAATTGGTCTTATTTTCTAACACATCCAGCCATGCTTAATAAGAACTAGCTACTTCTTACTTAAACCTTCAATATCTAATAGTCAAGAATGCTCCACACCATTGTTTCTCAAACTATCCGCAATCCAAGACTTGCACTGGTTCTCTATACTGAGTAACAAACGCGTGCCCCACCACCCTTTAGCAGCTTAAATCAATCTATAATTATTACTTCATAGTATCTATCAATTAAGAATCTAGAAGCAACTTAGTTGGGTGTTTCCAGGTTCAGGGTCTCTCTTGAGATTGTCGTCAAGCTGTGGGCCAGAGCTGGAGTCATCTAGAAAAGAATCGTCCCCTAAACTCACTCGTGGTGGTTTGCAGTCTCAGTTCCTTATGACTATTAGCTATATAGCTCAGTTTTTTAAACCATGTGGTTTTCTCCCTACTGCTGCTCATGGCATGACTTCTCAAGTACAAATAATCCAAAAGAGAGAAAGCTCAAGAAGGAGGCCACAGCTTGTACAATATAATCTTGGAAATGACAAACCATCAATTCTACCTTATGCTACTGGCCACATAGACCAGTAAGATGTGAGAGATGGATGATGGCACAAAGCTGTATCAGGCGTCCGTGATCATTTGGGGGCCAGTTAGAAGCTTACTTGTAAGAAGTTTTTCTCTTAAAAATGTCTAATCTGGGGCGCCTGGGTGGCGCAGTCGGTTAAGCATCCGACTTCAGCCAGGTCACGATCTCCCGGTCCGGGAGTTCGAGCCCCGCGTCAGGCTCTGGGCTGATGGCTCAGAGCCTGGAGCCTGTTTCCGATTCTGTGTCTCCCTCTCTCTCTGCCCCTCGCTCGTTCATGCTCTGTCTCTCTCTGTCCGAAAAATAAATAAACGTTGAAAAATGTCTAGTCTGGGGTGACTGGGTGGCTCAGTTGGTTGAGTGTCTGATTTCAGCTCGGGTCATGATTTTATGGTTCATGAGTTCGAGCCCCACGTATCTGTGCTGATAGCTCAGAGCCTGGAGCCTGCTTCAGATTCTGTGTCTCCTATTCTCTCTGTCCCTCCCCTGCTTGTGCTCTGTCTCTCTCTCTTTAAAATAAATAAACATTACAAAATTTAAAGAAAATGTCTAATCTATCACACATTGAACAGATTTATTTGCCATTCTAATTTATGCAAAATGGCTTCTACAATTAGATTTAAGGCTCTAGGGCAAAAGGGACTTTATCTTATTCACGGCTGTATTGCTACAGGTAATTGAGTGATGACTGGAACAATTTAGTAAACACATCCTATTTTTAAAGCTGCTAAAACAATGTTATGGGCTAAATATTGATATCCCCCTGAAAATGCATATTTTGAAGCCCTAAGTGAATGTGATAGGATTGGAAGACAAGGGCTTTGGGAGGTAATTAGGGTTAGATTAGGTCATGACAGTGAGGCCTTCAAGACATATTAGTTGGTTTTATGAGAAAGAAAAAGGGATTCAAGAGAAAGAGAAAGCTATCTCTTTCCCAATCTCCCTCATCCTCTCTCTCCCTCCATCCCTTTTTTTTCCCCTTCTTCCCTCCCCACATGCCTCTCTCCTTTCTACTGTCTTCCGTCTTCCTCTTCCCCCTCTTTCCTCATAGCAAGCCCTGTGAGCACACAGTGGAAAGCCAAGCCAGGAAGAGAGATCACTACAGCATGATCAAGCTGGCACTGTGATAGTGGATTTCCAATATTAGGAATTGTGAGAAAATAAATTTCAGTCATTTAAGGCATCTGTTCTGTAGTTTGTTTGCTTGTTGCTATATTTTAAGTAGGCTTCTGGTCCAGGGTGGAGCCCAATGGGGCTTAAACTCACCCTGAGATCAAGACCTGAGCTGAGATCAAGAGGTGGATGTCTAACCAACTGAGCCACCCAGGCCCCCCTTTTCTATGGTATTTTGTAATGGCAGCCTGAGCAGACTAAGACAGAAAGGAAATCCAGAAATTAAAGTAACAAAGCCATTTAGGGATTTAACACTTCAGGATTGGGATGTGTCCAGTAATAACTAAACTAAATCCCTTAGGCTGAAGTTTAAATTTATGTCCTCATATTAAATTCTCTGTTTGCCATTCATTGCCACAGTGTACCAGGCACTGTGTTATATGAGAAATGTGCAGATAATAGGTTGTCCCACAAACAAATGAAAGGCATAAACTAAAGGAGAGATACATTAATAGCAAAACTCCTCTTTAGAGGGGACTTTCATGACATCTCCCCATGTTTCTCCTAACTCTCTCTCTCCAGCATATTAATCTGTTTTATTTTCATCAGAGGATTTAGCTTGTTTACAATTTTCTCTCTTGTGTACCTATGTGCCTAGTTTTTGTTTGCTTCCTGACCTTTGCCCTCTCCTCCAACTACACAAGATGTAAGCTCTGGAGGGTAGAGGGCATCCCAGTGGACTTGACGATTATTTTATTTACTAGCCTGCCTAGAACTGGATGTGGCTTGAACTAAGCATGTACCATGTACACATTGAAGGAATAGAGTTAATGTAGAAGTACGTTCAAAGCAAGATGGAATCTTTTACTCTCTTCTACAAATCCTGTCTCCAAATGTCATGACAAGGCCTATAATTCTACTTTTTTTTCTTTTATGCTTTCAGTTAAGGTTTCGCTTTTCAGTGTTGGGATCACAGGCTTTGTTTTGCCACTGAGTCCCTTTTTCCTCACTTTTTCAGTTGTGGACCAGAGTATGAGCCGAATATTTGTGTTTCTATGCAGTGATGCTGCTTTTAGCCTTTACATTACCTCATTTAGTTTGGAACTAAGTGGTGTCAAATGGGAGTTTTGCATGAATAAGGACGGCAGATGAATCTGTTCCAATTAAATGGAAATTAAAGAGACATTTTCAAGGACGTTCATTCAAAAAATTGATCTGCTTTGCAATTAGTCTCCTGTAAAATTATTTTTCAGTAGCCATGGAAATCACTAACCCACTAACCCAAGATAAGTAAAGTAGATGTCTTTCTCAGAATTTATAAGAACCTGAAGGGGAAAAAAAAGATTTTTTTTTTTAATCGGAATTTTATTGTTGCTAATTTTGAACCGTTCATTTATGAATGGAGCAGCGTGAGAGATGGCTGGGAAGAAAAACACCGAGTTCTGCTCTGCGCACTAAGCACTTGACAGACTGCTTGATTTTCCCATTGGATACTGAGGACAGTCCAGCCACAGCAATATTAGGGTCCCGCTTTATAGTCAAGGAAACTGATACCCACAAAATGAAAGGATTCACCCACAGTCAGTAGAGCCAGCACATGGAGGAAAAGAGCCATCAACCTCAGCTCATTTGACTCCCATTCACCTCAAGACCATGGATAACTGGTTGCTGAATAATTGCTCAAGTCTGATTTCAAGCACTTTCTAATGTGTAATCTTGACAACTATGGTTGCACAATAAATGGAACACAGTTTCCCAAAGTTTGTCCTGAGGGAAGGATATTATCTTGGAATACTAATAGGGGTTATCTGGGGGGGAAAAAGTTGCCAGGGGGAAAATTTAAGAAAAGCTGAGTTGAATGCAATTAAATCACTTTAAAATAAAGCAAAACAAATAACCCTTTGGCACTTATCAGAGCCTTTAATATGCTAATGTGCCTTATGCTAATGTTCCCAGTGAAATAAATCTCAGTGGAGGTGGTTTAGTGCCTAGAGATGGAAATGGTGGGGGGCGGGGTTGAGACAGTACAATGAACTTACCAGAAGTATTTGAACATCTAATATTTTTCCTTGGCAGAATATTTTATAGGACTAAAGCTCTATGGATTATGGTTTGTGAAATCCTTGTGTAAATTATTAGAGCAAAAACAAAGCAGCAAAGCAGCAGGTAGAAGGAGTCTTCCACTAGGGCTACTAATTATACTGATTAAATATCACCATGTGGACATAAAAGATGTTCTTTTCTAAGAAAAGGCTATAATAAGAATAATAGAAAATTGGTACCAATTAATATTGATGAAATGATTCCCTCCACCCACCTTGCTTCCCCTGAGTCCTTTCTTCTATCTCCAGTTTTGTTTTTTCCATCTGTAGGGTCCTAAGTCTCAGTCTCTGTGGCACCTAAAGCCTTAACGAATTCACTCAGGAAAAGAATAAATTGTCACTCAGAATAACAGAGCGTTCTTTACAAAGAGTTGAGTAGTTCATCAGTTCTCTCAACTGGGGATTGATAAAATTACAAAACAAATAAATAAATAAATAGACAAACAAGAACAAAACAAAAAAACCTATATAAGATTTAACAGAAAGCTAACAGTCTTCTACCGGATAAGAACCCAAAAATAACAAAAAAGTCAAGGGTAGGGATGGGTGGATGTCAGAGGAGAGGGGAACTACTTACCTTTGACTGTAAATTATTTTATAAAAAAATACATTTAAAAAAAACAATTAAGGGGCGCCTGGGTGGCTTAGTCAGTTGAGCATCTGACTCAGCTCAGGTCATGATCTTACTGCTGGTGAATTGGAGCCCCACATCAGGCTCTGTACTGACAGCTCAGAGCCTGGAGCCTGCTTTCAATTCTGTCTCCCTCTCTCTGCCCCTCTTCTGCTCATACCTGTCTCTTTCTCTCAAAAATAAATAAACATTAAAAAATAAAGCAAAAAATTTTAAAGTACAAAGGGCATATACTTGAAAAACTTCTATAAATTATTGTGATCTCATAACACGCTTGTATTATATAAGTATGTT